AAAATCCTAAACCTGTCAGCATGGCTGCCCATTGGATCCCCCACATAAAAAGTTTAACCAGATGTGTGGAAATACTAGGGATTCCCAACTAAAGAACGTCAGGGAAATGAGGTGTCCTAACACTGATGCAATAAAAATATAAAACGTGTTTCTTAAGAAGAAGAATGTTTGAATGACGTTTTAGGATTTTTAAGCATATTTAGCTGATTATCGGGATAATATCATGAATTGTAATTATTTTGTCCAGGATAATTGTAAGTGTAATTGGATTCAAAATGTCTAATTAACTCATTAATACATTTGAAAACTTTTCTGTGTGAGCCCTAAAATCCAATAAATCATGCAGCGTTAACTTAAATGTCTTAAATATTTATTTGTTTGTCAAGGTACAATACAGGGTTACCAGCAAGAACCACCACAGATCACATCCATATGTTAACGCAAACAATGATGCAAGTCATAAATGGATTAACACACTCATTAGAGGTCATTCGTCCACTTTGTTTTTCCATTCCTCTAGAAAGCAATTAGACACCACTGTTTTGCTACATGTGAGACCTCTTTGGACAGCACCTTGAGAATAGGGACAGGAGCTGAGAGATAAACAGTATTGACTTCCCTTTGGAGAACACTGATGTAACACTGATGAAACTGTTTCTGAAAGGTCATGAGCTTTTAGCTAAAGCAAATAACAACAACACTTTGTTCAGGCGTTTCTGTGTATCCCATCAAACTGGTTTATACCCACTACCCAATCATACTTTGGTGTTGACAAATTTATTTCATTCACATACAACTGAACTTGATACTGTGGCAAACTTTTGATCCATCACTCAGAAATTACATCAGAAAACCATTAGCTTTATTTCTAAAAGCATGCATAAGGATAGAAGTGCTGTTTCTATAATTTTTTTATAAGAAGAAGCAAATTCTCAGGAGGAGTACAGAGCGGTGGACGGTGGTGAGTTAGGGGCAGGTAGTGCCGAGGGCAAAGTTTAAATAGATGAATTGTGCCCTCCCGAGGGAGTGACTGTTGCTATAAATTAGACTTTATCATAAATAACTACTCTAAATCTATTCAAATGTATGACTATTAGTTTACAGAGAGAAAACACATCTCTCTAAACTGTGGGCCTCAACAAAAATAACCCCTCAAACAATATGTCAGCCACTGTGTGCAGTTCTGGCTTTGGTCTTCTCATCCATATGGCACACCACCTCCCACTCCAGCAGCAAGGGTTGACATCCTGACATCCCTCTCAGTTGGTAGTCTGCTTTCAGGTGTGACAGGCACCTCAAATGAGGCTCCATCTAACCCCTGGCTAAAGGCCACAGACCTCAAGCTGGCAGACTCGAGGGGCCATTGTTGAGGACTGCTTTGGCTGTATCATCAGTTACTTACTTGAGATGCTCGGAGCCTCTGAATGAGTCAGTTGAAATCCCAAACCTGCTCCTTCTCTATAAAGTGATAGTCAAAGCAAGGAAATTGATGGCATAACCTGTAAGTGCCACTGGCTGCTGTCTCTGAAGAAAGGGCGAACGTTTTACCTGAACCCTGTTAAATTAGTCTCTGGGTGATGGGAGCTGGCGTCCTCTTGTGTGGTGCAGTTTTAATAGCTCTGTGTTTGTTTCGGTTTATTTGGGTTAACATGTATGCAGACAGAAACTACTTCAGAGAGGAGGGCAAACATTTACCATCCATCACAGTCTCAGTGAAAAGTTTTCATTCATGAAGATTTTACCCGCTAACTTTCTAGCCTTGGTTTTTCCATTCTTCCTGTATGTCTTCCACTTACAGGCTCAGATTAAAGAAGACACTCCTTGTTCCACTCAATGAGAAAATGACAACCATGTGACAGTCATACCAGGCCTGATTTCACCCAGTAGAGGAGATCAAACTGATGATCAAATCAGTTATTCAAACCTACAAAACATGTTCAAAAGCATGGTCTTTATTCATTTATTCTTTCTGGGTAAGGTTCACATGCTGAACCCGGAATTTAAATGATGATGCTGTTTACAAAATGCTCCCCTCTACAAATGTGCCCTCTTCTACAGAAATAGGTCTATTAGTGGCAATTTATGAGAAAATGCCTTGTCCAGTGCTTAATATGGAAAAAGCTTACGTCCTCCATCTCAGAAAGCAATAAGGGTTAAGGGTGTGCATGTGTTTTAAATCAGCTGAAAAACAAGCAGTTTCATGAGAATGTTTGTCCCTTGTCTCATGATGACACGTGGTCACGAGTTGGGCACAGTGATGTAGGTTTCTTAAATGTGATTAAGAAAAGCATGTTCTCTTAAGGATGTCTATAATTCCATAATATAAAACCTAGTGACCAGTACGCTTCATATTATCTTCACTCCTCCCCTCTGACCAAAATACAACCAGACCAGAGGCCCAATCCTCATTTTGGAGCAACAGCATCAGACACAAGAATGGCTTATTATCGCGTGGTTGCTCTGGTGCTCTTGGTTGTCTTACTGCTTAATGGTAAGTCTTGATATATCTCTGTGTGTTGTTGCAGCTCCAATCTGCGTTTTTTACGTTTCAGTAGAAATTGTGAATTTACAGCAAAAGGATTTGACATTAAACATACTATTTCCTATAATTACAGTTGTGGAGAATGAAGCAGCATCCTTTCCTTGGTCTTGCCCAACTCTGAGTGGAGTGTGTAGAAAGGTTTGCCTCCCAACAGAATTGTTCTTTGGCCCTCTGGGCTGTGGAAAAGGCTTCTTGTAAGTTTTGATGTCCAGACCCATTTTGTGAATATATTGTGTATGTTTATTCGCTTAAGAAAAGTAATACATGGTTTCTTATTTATTCCCAGGTGCTGTGTGTCTCATTTTCTATGAGCGCTGGAATGCCGTGAGATAGGACTGCATGCCTGGTTCAGCCACGCTAGAAGACTGGTTGAGCATCACAGAAGATGAGACAGACAGAAGACACTGTTGTGGAGGATCCTGTTTGGTTTTTACTCTGATGTAACACTGTGGACTTTGGGATGCTAAATTAACTGCTTGTAGTTTTTGCTGATTTTAATGCCGCTGAAATGGCTGAGTAAAAAATTACATTAAACTTATTTG